ACTGGGTGACTTAGTAAGATCCTGTCTCAAAACCCGAGCGAAGAGAAAAGGCTGGGGGATATCGCTCAGTGCAGAGACGCTGAGTTCAATCCTGTGTCCCCAAAACAAACAAACACACAAACAAACTGAGGCAAATGATGGAACAAGTTGTGAAAAAAAATCGACTAGGGCCAAAGCTGTATGTTGTACCTCAAAATTAAAAAAGAAAAAAAGATGACGAGGGTGATTTCTCAGGGACTATTGTTTGGGAAACCGATGTTATAGGCACCGCACTACTTTCTCTCATTGACGGCAGCATCTTAGTACCTGTGTAATCATTCGACCACAGTGGGTCACCTGTGACAATGATGGAGCTCAAGGCATGTCCTGGGGAGATAGACACGCCCACATGGTCTCGTGTCCAAAAAAAGAGTACTGTGTTGAGAATTCCAAATTGTGGGTTAGATGCTAATTATAGAAGTGCATTAAAATTAACAACTGGGTCATGTGAGAGAGACTGAATTCAGGAGGTGCTGGACAAGAGCACAGTAGCCCAGCAGGGCTCGTTAAGGCAAGACATGTCAGGTCAACCCACCTTTCCGTTATTATCAGAGAAGGTCATCTGACTGGCGGATGGGTGTAAATAAGGAGGAAGATTCCATTATGGCTTTAGTAATATGTTGGACAAAGTCATCATGTACTTTTTTAAAAATGACAGAAATAATGTGATTGATGCCAGTACATTTACAAGGGCTTGGGGCTATTTGGGAAACACCATTCAAAGATTGTGTCTATTAAGTGGGAAGTTATAATTGTTTCCAGTGTGCTGGTGACATAACAGTAATTAATATTTCAGATCACAGAATGTTTATTTCAGAAGGTATTGACAAACTGTAGTGAGGGATTCATGAGGCTGAGTGCAGATGTGTGGCTGGCCTGGGAGATCAGTGCTTCTTGTCTCATGCTAAAGTTCCCGTAGGGCAGAAAATGGCGAGCAGATGGTCTGTGCAAGCTGGGAGGGTCTTGCCTCAAGTGTCAGCGGTTCCTGGTTTCCCTCTAAGCTCATCTCCTATCATAAAGATTCACGCAAAATCTGCATCTATTCTGCAGCCCATTTATTTTATTTAAAATGAAATTTTAATGAACAAAAATTTTTACCTTAAGTATTTGGGGCTGGGGGTGTAGGTTAATGGTGGGGCATGTGCTTGGCATGCACAAGGCTGTAGGTATTATCCCCAGTACACACACACACACACACACACATTTGTTTGACTTCTTATTCTCAGAATTATTGATGGATATTAAAATGAATACATTTGTCTAGATCATAGAATATTAGAGATGTTATTAAATTTGAATACTTGTTCAAGTCCCCTTGTTTTATAAATAAGGAAATTGATCTTTACATTCTTTTTCATAATACCTGAACTCTCTTAATCTAGGCATTTCAAATGGAAGAGTCCAAAAAAATCTATTATCATTTTTTTTTTAATTTTAAAGAGTAAAAGAAGGATAACAATAATGGGGGGGGCTTACCAAATTACAGACAAAGTGGTAGGAAATTATCAATGATTATTGTTTTACATATTGTTATCTATAAGATAGTTTCTCTGGAAAACAAATAGACAAATAATAGTGAGTTAGAGACAAAAGAGGTAGGAGATTATCAATAGTTGTACTCTACTTAGGTATCTTTGAAAGAAAATAAATAGAGCTATACATGAGTGACCTATTGAATAATCATTAACTATTCTCAATGGTTGTTGTAGGAAACACATAATAATAAACATGCATCCATTTATGAAATAGGATAGGAACAATACAAACATTGCAGAGTTATGGATAGATTAGTAGGAAAATATCAATGACTGCTGTAATACATGGTGGTATCTTCAAAGTGGTTTCTCAGGAAGACAGAGATACATAAGAAGGATCTAACAAGTAGTTACAGCCTAAGGGTTGTCAAAAATCAAGTGAGCCGTCGGGGCGAAAGCCATTTTTTGTAGCATTTTCTCTCCAGCCTCCCATCGCATTGGGACCCCACAACCAGTTAGTGTCCTCTTCCCAACTATCAGCACAGGCAGCAGGAATCCTGTTGCAGGCTTCTCCGGAGCTCCACCACAGCCTGTACTGTCAGGGGAAGAATGGCTTCCAGGGAGTCTCTGCATGTATTGTGCAAGGTCCTCCTGGTTTCCAGCTTCCAAGCAGCTCTCATTACCCCAGTCCACAGGACCTTTGACCCCTCGGGCTTAGTCTGCATTCTCATGTTCTCTGAGTCCTTGTTCTGCAGCTGCTCCTCTGCTGACTCTAGACCTTTCTGGTTCTCAATGGCAGGAGCAAGAGTGTCCCATTGTATAGCATGTATTCCCAGGGGTTGCTCCATGTTTGAATGATTCACACACGTTCATAGGTGGGCATCTGCAGCCGGTGCATGGTAGGCCAATTGTGTCACTGTTTCTCTGTGTCATGATAGTTCTCAATTGAGCAGCAGCGGCTGGCCTGAAGGCCGGCGCACCACAGTGCTCTCGGCCACATGGCTCCCCGTGCGCCGGGGGCCCTCCCTCTGGGGGCCTACGAGGCAGGAAGCGAGCCAGCCGGAAGACCGGTGCTCTGCGCCCATGGCTCCCTGTGCTCCGGAAGCCCTCCCTCCGGGGGGAAAATCTAGTATCATATAAAAGGTTTCTATCCTCTTGTTGATACCATTCTTTATAAACTCTTAAACTTCAAATTTTGATATAGAATTTCTTTGATTTTTGACAAACAGTAATCCAACTGTTATATTAGACTTTATAGAAAAGAATAATAAAATTTTGGATTGATTTGTTTCCATTAATCTTAATAAAAATACCTAATAAAATTTTTAGTATTCTAAGTTGCTAGAGAAGTGTTCACAGGGAGTGGTTTATATTGAGTTTTGGGTTGATTTTATAGGTTCTAATGAACATCCCAGAATATATGATGCTGTCCGTGTACCTTAGGTTACCATCCCTGTGTGATTGTTGTTCACAAGGAAAGATTGTTGAGCTGTGACTCAGTGGGAGAGTGCTTACCTAGCATGCATAGCATATGGGCCTGGGTCCAATCAGAGGAGATGGGGAGCTGATTTTTTTCAGGCTTAGTCTATTGCTTCTTATTTTCCTGGGTCCAAATTTCTTTAACAAGCTTGCCATTCTACGGCTCTTCTGGCTACTTCAAGGAACCACTGCATGTAACCGTGTCTAAGAGAATGGACAGGAAATGGACAGAAATCCAGCCTCATGTACTCCCTCTGGATTATCATTCTTGGGCAGTTGGCCCTTCCTCCCCCTTCTATTTCGTTTTAAAACGTTAAGCTGTTGCAGACCCAGTTGGCTGTTAAGCGTGTGCCTAGGTGTGTTCTGATAGACATGTTTGCTTTCCTTCTCTAAGGTAGATAGTTGTCTTCCTAACACGATTTATTGTATGTGTAAATTTGTAGGTTTGGGTTTTAAGGGTGCTGTTCCTGAGAATGACATGTGTGCAGGAAGAACATATTTCCACCCAGAGGAACCCAGCGCTGGGGAGGACATGAGCTAAGATGATAGGCAGATATGCTTTTTGTTGCTAGAGACTGCCACATGTGGTTGTGCATGTGTGTTTGTTGTGGCACTGCCCTCTGGGAGAGCGGGGATAGGTGGTGTGCTCACAGAGGAGCTATAGGGCTACTGGCCATTTACGATTAGAGGGTCTGGAGCTGGGAACCATGGCTGTCTTCTACATGGAATTACACTTACAGCGCACCAACTTCTGAGTACCTCTCTTTACTCCTTTTTTAGAATGCTTCCTTGATTTTTCTTTCAGGATCCCAGAAATGAGGGTAAGACACATATGCCACCAGAGGCGGAAGAAGGGCTCTCACCCGTGAGTATTTGACATCCGCTGAGATGATGGGGAGAAATACCAAGCCCACGGACCTCTGCGACATCTGCCCCCTGCACCTTCGCAAAGAAATACAAAAGGCTCTCAGATGAAAATAAGTTAATTTTGCTTTGGGGAAAAGCCAAAAACTCTTAGCCAATCAATACTGTTTTACCTTGAGAACTTCTGTGGGTTGCTGAATCAGAAGGCAACCGTCATCAGAGGTGAGCGCCGTACTTGAAAGAACGCAGACACAAAACACAGCAATGTTCTCTGACATCAGATGATGCTCGGATGCTGACAGGGAAAACAGGCTCATATCTGCCTGAAGAGCTGAACTTGGAGTGCATGTTAAAAGGAAACACAAACAAAGGACTGAAGCGGAAGGAAGAAAAATATTTTCATGGTTTTCAAGGACAAGTATGTTGGAAGAGGAGACAATGCAGACCAAGGAGAATAGGTAAATGAGTTAGTGTTTTCAGTAAGTCCTTTTCCAAATTTTGTTTTTGTTGTTGTTATTGTTTTTCTCTTTAAAATAAAAAAGAGAGATTTTAAGTTTTGTTGGGTTTTATGAAATGAAATGTAGCTTGGCAAAAACAAGTGAATGAGCTCTAGAGGAGAAAGTGAATTAACTACATTGTAGAGACACTTCACTTGTCAGTGATTAGTGTGTAATGTTTCGATCTAAGAGCTGAAAATAATTTCTTCGTGTTTACCCAGATAGCTTTGGGTTTTCTGCTTCTTGAGTGGGCTATTTTGATGCAGGGTTGACTACAATCTTCATAATGATATTCTATTTTATGTTCAATAATATATCTATATAGCTCAATACCATCAGATTATTACAAAAATATGAAAATAGAAAACTGTGAAGCATTTGGAATTGTACTGAATAACTGGAGACAGACGGTGGAGAGGGAACGAGGGAGAGAGAGAGTGAGAGAGCATAGTGTTAATTTTCCTTTTTAAACTGATAATAAAAGATAATACTACTTTCTCAGAGTTGTTATTTTATAGGAACACATGCTTATTTTGCAAGTGTGAGAATTAATGCAGAAATGTGTATTTGTTACTGGATCATTTCTATATGCTTCTTTTTCTTCTGAAAACATAACAGAACACTTTTTAAATTAAATTTGATTGACGTATTCAAGTAATATGTCCAAAAAGGAAACTTTTAGTGCCACAGTCCCAGCAAAAATCTCACACTTTGTAACCTAATGATATCAACAGATATAAAGACCTTTTAATTTTGCCTTTCCAAACTTATAACTTTGAAGAAAAACTGTTTTTCTCCTTAATTTTTGATATTTTTCCTCATTGGTCAGAGGAATTTATGCTACTTTTGCAGTAGAACTTGCCTCCTAGCATACTAGAATTAATTTTATGACTATTTTTAAATATGTGGGTATACAAGTGTATTGAAAGTACTCTATGGGTGTGATTTTTATTGAAAAATTGAAAGATAATTTTTTTTGTATTTTCTATTACTGTAAGAAGTCAATTGAGATTAATTTTATTACTATTACTAATACTAAATTGTTTAAGTATCAGAGAAGTCTATTTATCTACCCTGACTGATATGACCTTGCAGTATTTCTGTGGATGCTTTTAAACTTCTAAAATACTTCCACTCTAGTACTCCCTCCTCCAGTTCTAGAAGTAGATGATTTTTCACATTTACTGGTTGACTAATGTGTTATAAGTAATTTCATATGTACTTAATTGAGAGAGCAGTAATCACACAGAATCATAGATGCTAACTCTGTAAATTGTAGTAATCAGAATTGACTTGAAGCACCTAACAGATGTTATAAAACCAGAAAATGATGTCTTTGCAATCCCTAGGTGATACATTCTATTTATAATTAGAAAGAAGTATGAATTAACTTTTATTTTTTTTGCAGAGATTTGCACTATATTGGCTTTAAACACTTTAAAATTCCTAGTTTACTTGACGCTAACAGTATTAAGTGGATATAGCAACATTTATGAATATGTAGAGTAAATGTGTGACAGTGAGACCATTCAAATTAAAGTTCTGTTTTAAACCCGCTCATCAAGACTTGTAAAACTCATCTAACTAAGGCTGTAAATATATAACACTTGATTGCCCGATCTCCTTGTTCCTCAGAAAGATTATATGTAAGACCGAAAAGGGTCTGTTCTGGGCTTCCCGCATTCTGGGGAGTCGGTACTTGAGTTCACAGGTGTGTTGCAGAGAATCACAGCATTAACACACAAGACCTTCCCAGGCACTGGATTTATGCACGTATTTGAGAGAGAAGAAGTTAAATTATCTACCCAGTAAGTCATATAAAATGTTACGTATGTGAAAATAAAAGCAAATATATTGCTGAACGCACCATCTGAGATGTTAAGCCAAAAGCTGCAGTGCAAAGGATCTCCTTGGGGAGGGCTGCTTTGAGACTCGAGCCCCGCCCTTTGCCATCAGGAAGATGCTGGGACAGTGGTGCGTGACAGCACGGACAGGGATTCCAGATCTGGACCAGACTGGGCAAAGCCCCTGCACAGCCCAAGGAAGCCGCGGCTCTAGTTGCCATGCGCCTGGGAAAGTGACACGTTTGGCATGGATCGTTGCTGGTGGCAGTGCCCACAAGAAGACTCCAGTCTGTTTCAGGAGGGAGTCTCGTTCAGTTCCCTTGCCTTATTCAAGGAAGAGACTTTCTTCTTTTCTCTGAACAGGGTAAGTCCACTTCCCATTCTGTTGTCTTTGGCTTGTCTTTTGTTACTAGAGGATTTTGCTGGATGGTTTGAGAAGACAGACATTTAATAGGGGTGAATTTTTAAGGAAATCCAAAGAAAACCAAAGATCGATCATTGTAACTGACTGTAAACTCAGTTTTTGAGTCTGGAGGGTTGCAAGTTGAGAAGAGTTCTAGTTGCTGGACTTACAGCAGCACCCGCAGATGGCAGCGTGATGATGACAGCGGCGACTCGTGGGCTTCTTGGTTCGAATGTTTTGGGAGATGGTGTAGATGTCAGTGTCACAGTCGTGGCTGTTTCCTGGAGCACAGCATGGGGATGTGGTGAAAGTCTGAAAAGAGACCCACTGAGGTCACCCCAGTAGACCGGGACAAGCACTTCAGCTACAGTTGGTGACAGGTGCCTTCAAGGAAGAATCGAAGAGTATGACAAAAACTACATGGGAATGACAAAAGTGTAACAGGGCTAAAGTTAAAGAGCAGACAAAGGTTTATTTGCCTTGATGATTTTGCTATTTTGTAACATACATTTTAGAATAACAGCCAGAATAATGGTGATCACATTATACAATGAAGTGTCATGGATAGTGGAGGTCTTGACAAATTTTTGAATTTTTCACAATTTCTGAAATATTTATATTAATAGCACTTAGTGATATGAATATAACTTAAGGAAAGCTAAGTTTTTTTTAAAAAAATTGACAATATATTCTGTTCAATCCAACATATCAAGTAAACCTAATTATTTTTAATATCACTCACTTTACAATAAAAGAATTCACAAGTAGGTAAGATAGTTGTAAAAAGCTTCAGCTCTTTTAAAAGTAAAAATATTTGGTTCTCTGAAGTAGTCAAGGACAAGAAAAATATTAACAGAGGAAATTATTCTGATAAGACATAGATTTTTTTGTTTCCTAGGTAGATTACCTCAGAAGAAAAACTTTGACAATTTATTTTAAAGGCAACTTATTTTTAAGAGCAGTCTAGTAATCCAAGAAAACTCCAATAACTTATTTTATAAATAAATCCATCCCATCTTAGCTGGGTTTGCCCACATGGTGCAGGATTCTTTTTGTGATATTTTCCACAAGACTTCTGCAAGTGTAAAAAAAACAACTATTTAGGTTTTATTCTTTACTTTCCTCTCGCTCATTACAGAACTATTAAGTCATTTTACTGTAGAATAAAATTGCTGTGTTTTTCCCAGTGACACCATGCCCTGCATATTTTGTATACAAAGTATTTCCCTTCACCCTTACTTAATAGTTTCATTCACATATATTGATAATAGTTTTTAATGATTGGTAACTTTTTAAACTGAGAACACTAGGATACACACAATTGTGAACTGTCATATATCAGTATTTTATAGCAGACTAGAAATTTTTATGAATATATTATTTCAAAATTTCTATAAGCTACTTTGTAGTACAATTTTTTATACTTATTAACAGATCTGTGTTGGGAGCCACTGCAGCTGGTTATTGGTCAAGCGGTCAAGCTACCTCAGTACTGAAAAAGGCATACTGCCGGACAATTACAGTGGTTAGTCACTAGGCAACATTACTCCCCCCCCCCATGATACTAACTTTGCAAGTGTAAAATAAACGTCCCTACTGTTGAAGTCAGAGCTCATGCTCATCGGGCAAGAGTTAACTCCACCTGACCCCAGCTCTTGTCTCTTGTCTTTATTTTTCTCATACCCACTGTCGTTTCTCTCTGGGGTACAACGAGAGACCAACGAGGTACACTACAACCTGGACATATTTTGCCTCTCTATACCATGTAAAAATCAGCCAAAGTTGTATGAATTTCAACTTATGCTTGATAATTGATGTCAATAGTTTATCTGACTTAGAAATTATCAGTGAATACTTGTTACCTAACATCATTCTAAAGGCAGAGGTTACCAAAAGATTTTGAAAACTTTTCAGCAGACATATTATGACGTGAAACAAAGCTGGCCAGCATCTCATGTTATTTCCCTGTTAGCTCTTTTTACAGTCTATACATATTATATCAGTATCATAAAAGCACACACAAAAAGAGAGAAAACAAAACAAACCTTAAAAAGTCAAGTAAGTCAAAGTTTTGTGGGTGGTTTTACTGCCGGGCTTGGTATGTATGAAGGAGTAGATATCAAGCAGTCCATTTTTCACTTCATCTTCACTTAAGCACTTCTTTCTAGGTTAAATTCGTGAGATAATTTTAACATTTGGTTATAATTTACACTTATTCGATTAGTAAATCCAAATATAATTTTGGTATTATACTTAATGCGGATAAATCAGAACCTTTATTCATTTTTATTAAAGCAGTGCATCCAAAGTGGTCATATTTATTAAAGATTTCCTCAAATCATGTGAACTTAAAAACATTTGGGTTAGTTTTTCTGTTTCTGGAGGTTTGAGGAATACTTAATTTATATACATGATTGTCTGTTAGTCCCTTTGAATAGAACTGCTTTAAAGGATTTTGTAAACTAATTTGGCAGTACCTTCCAAGTGTAGAAATGTATCATGCATACCTAACACACATGAACATATAGACAGGTACAAATAGAGACCTTACAGCTTTCATTCTAAAATTTTATCCTTCAGTGAGCTCAATATAGTAATGTAATAAATACTCAGTGGTATATATAAATTTGGGGGGGAAGCCATAGGAGTTGCAAATTATCCTTAGTAAAATCATATCACAAGTTCAAAGTGAGTGCCGAAGTGGTGGGGCGCGTGGTCATCGAGGATTTGAGGGGTGAGAAGAGTTTCAGCCCATGGAGCAGTCCTATGCTCCTACCTAAAAGCTCCTTGCACTTTGCTAGAAGCCTGGGGCCCCAACCCAGCCTCTAGTCCATGGGCAGAGATGGCTGAGACCTCACTCAGCCTCTGTTTGCCTTGGGCTCTTACCCAGCCTGTAGAGCAGTGGTGGTGAACCTACGGCAGGGCGGTTACTTGTTTTCCTTTTAAGACACAAGATGGTAATGTATGAGTTGTTTTTTCTGAATGAAAACCTCAGTATGGAGGTTTAATTGCAGCGTTGGCACTTGTTGATAAGTAAGTGGGATCGGGCTGCAGTTATACCTGACCCGGGGACTGCAGTGTGCCAGGCAAGCTTGTGTATTTTTGGTTTTTTTTTGAGACAGGTTTTCCCTGTGTTGCCAAGACTGAGCTTGAACTCTTAAACTTGAAGTCCTTTGGCCTTGGTCTCCTGAGTAATTCACATTACAGGTGTGCAACATTGCGCCTGGTCAAGCTTCTGTTTTTGAAATCACTCACTCAGCTAACACATATTAAGCATTCATTATGTGCCAGGACTTAGACTATATCCAGAAATGAAATATAGATGCCTATTTCCATGAATTTTACACTTTAGCGAGCAAGACAGAAAACAAACAATAAATCTTATAATTACTTAAGTTATATGGCACATTATATGGTTGGGCAAAAGGAAAAGCAAGCAAGGAAAAGGCTGTGGGAACCCCCGGAGTCTAAGTGGAAATGTGGGTGATTGTTTGCAGTAGCATGGGCAGAAGAATCATCATGCAGGAGGTGAAATTTGAGCAAACACTTGAATGCAGTGAGGGACTTGGTCATAAACTATTAGGGAAAGAATGTGCCAAATGTAGCCTCTCAGCTGGAGCTGCGTGGCATGTCCCCAAAACAAGGAGAAGCCAGCCTAGCAGCAGAGAAGTGAATGGAGCCAAGAAGTTGAAGATCAGTTGAAGAGGCAACCAGGCACGAGGCCGCCGTGGAGGTCAGGGAGCCCATCGCAGGTGGGTGAAGTGGCGTGGTCTGACTGTGCTCTCTAAGTACTACTGTGACTGCTGTGTCCAGGGAGGAAGTGAGAATAGGGAAATGTAGCCTGAGTTGTTCTAATTTGGTGGCTACAACAGTCGAGAGTCTGAGGTATTCACCTGGTGGCCGTATCTGGTTATAGTGTCAATCTTTCATGTAGGATTATTGAATACTTTTCTAATGAATATTGACTACCCTGATTATTATATGTCTTAGTTACTTTCTTGTCTCTGAGATACAATACTCAGTGCCCACAAATTAAAGGAGGAAAGGTTTATTTTGGTTCACGGCTTGTGAAGATTTTAGTCCATAGTTAGCTGGGTCCAGGGCAGAGAGGAGTTGCTCAGGGCATGGCGAACAGGAAGTAGAGAGTGACCAAGGTAGGTAGGGGGGAGGAAGATAGACCTTCCCAGCCCACACCCCTTGTGACCCACCTTCTCCCACCACCCTGCACCTGACCACATTCATTAGCTATGAACTCAGCAGAGCACGGAGTTCTCAGCAGAGAACTCACCATGAGCTAATCACCTTTCAAAAGCACCCCCCCCCATGAGTGCATTAGGCTTAGACGGGACATCTAGGTACAAACTGTAACTATAGATACTGTGCTTTAACAGCAATAATCAGTTCCTGGATTCTCCAGTACCAGTGGGTAGTACCATAGTTCCATTCAGTTTTAGTGCTGACTACCTGAAGTTAGCACAGCTCCTAGAGGTTAAGGGCTGAGTCCCACAAGATTGATACTACTTTAGGTGCCAGCTACAAATGGGGCCCCAGACTACCTGTACCTCTGCCCACCCAGCTACAAATTAGAGGGTACCTAAGATTCTCCCCTCTGCTAGATTTGGTAATTTGCAGAAACGGCTTAATCCTCAAGAAAATGCTTTACTTGGGGTTACAGTTTATTGTGAAAGGGTACCATCTGGGTACAGCCGAAAGAAAGAGACACACAGGGCAAGGTGTGATGAGATGGACAGGCAGGGAGATTCCATGCCCCACCATATTTGAACTTTCGTTCACCAACCTCACAAGGACCTCAGCTTTGCTGTTTCAGAGTGGCATCTAAGTCTCATTTCACAGAAGTGCCTGATGAAAGCACCAGCCATGTGTGACTGAATTCCAGCTCCAGTTCCCTTCCCCTTCCTGGAGTTGAGGCGGCCAGAGTGAAAATGCTCAGCCTCTAACTGCGTGGTCTGTCCCTCTGGCGGTCACCCTCTATCTTGAAGTTATCTAGGGGCCACCAAGAGCCATTTTATTTTTTTTTAGAAATGTTGAATTAATTTCATAATCTCCTAATTTCTTTTGACTCTTTTTCAGTGTGGCTAATAGAATATTTTTAATAGTAGATATTTGAGTACAGAAAGATCCCATTCATCATGGGGAATTTGTACGCGTGCATAACCCCTCTTAATTCTTTGCTGTTCCCTTTCCCTCCCCTCCCTCCAACCCTCCTTCCCCTCCCCATCTGCAAAAGCTCTATTTCCATTTCTTCCCTTCACCTTTTTTTTTAAAGTTTAAATCAGGCCAGGGATATAGCTCAGAGGCATAAGTGCCTGCCTGGCAAGCACAACCTCCTGAGTTCGATTCCCGGTACCAAAAAAAAAACCCCTTAAATCCGTTTTCCCTTCTTTTCCTCCCTTTCCCCCATTTCTTGTACCCTTCCTATTTGAACAAGCCTTTCCTGCTTCCTAATATGTGTCCTCTATTTTGTCCCTTACTTATGCTTTGGGTTTCTCACAGCAGAGAAACAACGCGATATTTAAACTTGTGTGTCTGGTTTATTTCTCTTAATATTATGGTCTTCAGGCGCATCCATCATTTTCCTAAAAATTAACATCAGCTCAGATGAGGTGAAAAAAGGCTCCTTGTGAATCCTAGAAGACATTTCTATGAGTTAGGAGTGTCCTGTTACATAAAGCTTAGGTACTCTGTTCTGGGAATATGTATCTGTGTATCTATATAGCTATCTATACCTAGCTATATCTGTATCCCTATCTATCTATCTATCTATCTATCTATCTATCTATCTATCTATCTATCTACCTATCTACCTCCACAGTGGAAGTAACAAAAACTCAGATGGCAGAGCAAGGTCAGTCTTCCCGATAGCAGGCAACAGCAGAGTCCAAGTATACAAAAACAAATCCAGACAGGGAAGAGCAGGTGGCAGCAGCAGACCAGGAAACCCGCCAGCCCGATATACCTGGTGAGGGGCAGGCGTGAGGTCAGGCACACAGCCGTGACCTAGTAGCCGTTCCCCAGAAATAGAGCCAAGATGCAAAGACGAGCCAGTGGATTAATTATTCTACACCTCGTAGGTCTCAGGGCATCATGAATACAAACAAGGTCAGTTAATATTGTTCTCATGTCTCCATGGCTCCAAACTTGCGCTTGTTCAACAAGACCTTAGCCACCGAGCTGTTTACGTCTGCTTGAAATCTTCCGCAGTTGTTTCTGGGCATCCTCAGAGCAGTGACATCCCACAAGGGCTTGGGAACGAGTTTGCTCGTGTTCTTTCCACTGGAGCCTCTTGGCCCATGGTGCTTGTCATGACCGTGCAGCTGGTGTCCTAGGCAGATGCCATTTCCATGCATGTCAGGGCCACTTGAACCCGGAGTGACAGTCACCTCTGGATAGGAGGTGAGGGGAGGTGACTGGCTTATCCAGCTCTTGTCAACTGTGTCTCCAGGGAGAGGGCGGCACCACATGGACTTGGTCCCATCTAGGATTTCATGAAGTCTGTGGCTTCACCTTTTCTCGCAGGCTCAGAACCAGTCCTATTTGTGGCCAGAACAGAGCAGTGTGGGACCTGTCCTGTCCCCGTGTCTTTTCCCTCTCTCCTCTTCTGCATCTAAATAAAGCAAAACAGAACAAATCTTTTTTGGCCTCCTGTCAGACAAACAGCTTGTGTCATTGAAAGATGTAAACTTTGGAGCCAGACATAGGGGCTGGAATCTCTGCTTTGTCAATTGTTGGCCCCAGGGTTTTCTTATAGTAGAGTTATATTAGAGATGATTGGTACAAATCACTCAGCATGGTATTTCACCCAGAGAGGGAGAGAGAGAGAGAGAATCCTCCAAATGCCAGCGCAGTGTAGCCATCACAGGCTTTGTGCTTGTCTGAGTGTGAATCTCTCCCTCACCTCGTCTGTCCTTATGCAGATATTATAAGAAAGGTGCTGCCGCATCCCCTCCTAGACAAATGAGCAGTTAGTTGTAAACTGGTTTGTCTCGGCCCTCTAATTTTGTTCCAGAGATTTTCCTTCTTGACCACTCCATCCACTCTGTGTGACCCAGTATGCTATGACTTGTTCAGGAGTGGGGGTCGTTGAGTGGCATTGCCCATCACATAGGAAACACAACATCTTGCTAGTTCCTGAGAGAGAGAGAGAAGACAGCCTGCATGTGTGACTCAAGCCCTTCTGTTTGGTTTCTGTGGCCTGTGTCTGGACTGCAAGAGGTGACTCTTTACCTCCGTCAACCTCAGAAGGGTTTGAGTGCTATCTTCAATGTGCATCTGCTAGCTAAATGAACGTACCATTAAGATACATCCTCAGGTCTTGCTAGATTTTTAAAAATTAAAAATTAAAAAAATATTGCATCCCATTTCTCAGACCCAGATTTGGAATAGGATTTCAATGAATGGTCCAGAGGGTTATCATTATTTTATTTCTGTGTGGAGCCCACCCTACCATAACTTGGAAAGATGAGTCATGGAAGCCCCATCCCTAGAATTAAGGGTCTGTGGACTTATGAAGAACATTTTTCTTTGCCTTGTACTGAAAGGAGAGCACGCCTCAGTCTTCTCTGTATAGAAGAGTAGAAATGAACGTGTACCTTTGCTTTCCCACAGAACAGGAATAGTAACTGGTAGTCATCCACTACTAGAGGGGAGCCAAAGAAAATGCCAGTTGGAATAGGTCAGGGGAGATTTTTAAGGAAAATTTGGATTGGATCCATAAAGGACAAAGTAACTGGATTTTACATAATTACTACAATTGAACAGATGCTTCATCTGTTAAAGTCCTGTGTTTTGCTGACCAGCCAAAACATTCCAGACTTTCTATCGGCAGGATTTCACTGGGTAGTTATACAGTGGGCAGGGGAGATGTCTGTTTACTCACTGGTTCTCAAAATGAACGGAGTCTGCCATCCTCATGCTGCCTTATTACAGTGCTCAGGAAGTGACGCTGTCTCCAAGTACAGGACTGTGGTCCTTGGTTACAGAAACAGTAAGTGCCTCACGTTCTTATCATATAAAAAAATGAGCATCTTCCCAGGCAGTGATGGTCTCATTGCACCTCACAATAATCCTGGCAGGATTAAAAGTCCAGTTCCCAAGGCTGGTGAGAGACGTGGGGCACAGGCTTACTCACTGCCCTGAGAGAGGCAGAGGAGGGTGAAGTGGAGAAAATAAACAGCAAGGACGGTGGCGGTTAGGGTGGAGTTTCAACTTGATTGACATCAGGATCTGCCCGGGGATTGGTGGAGCACACAGCCGGGCGTATCTGGGTGGGTCAATGATGTGTGATTTTGGAGTCTGCCTCGGATCCCTTTCTCCTCTGGCGTTTTCCTCCCACTCTGGTTCCTGCCTGCCAGGAACTAAGCATCTTTGCTTAGCCACATCCTTTTGTTGTGATGTCTCTGCCTTGATAGCAGCTGAGCATGGACAGAAACTGAGCGAATTAAACCTCTCTTCCTTTAAAATGTGGCTGTCAGGTGTTCTATCTCAGCAACAGGAAAGTTACTCGTATAGTGACTCAGGAAAATACAGGACAAGCCTGGACAATTGCCTGACTGGAAGAATAGAAATAGCTGAAAGATGCAGGAAAAAGAAAGAAGTGCATTGTGGTTCTATTTCTGCATGTGTGTGTTCCATTTCATCAGTTTTATCACAGACTCTTTTAGGAATTTATGTTATAAGTTTTCTACTTTTGTACCTTGGATGAAGATTCTGCTAAGACACACTAATTATTAGCACACATTATGTTTATTTTTTTAATGTATTACTGCTACGGTCACCTCACTCTATTTCCATATTTTATATAAAATGTTGCAAAAGATAGCATTTAATCAAATATCTTCATCAGTGTGAGAGGAACTCAGAAAACACATGTGGCTCGGTATCCTCCAAAGTGGCTAATACAATGCAAGATGTGTCACCCCACAGCGTCCTGGGCCTGAGTCATGTCCTTCCTTCTTACTGCAAAGTCCCTTGGGTCACTCACTGGTGTGTAAGCATGACTGTCTTAGGCACTTACTGATTAGTTTTGTTTTGGCAGAGAAAAGGTTATCCTTGGGATAGCCTTCAATTTGTGGCAACCAAATAGCCAGCCCTTGTTAAAACTGATGCTGGTGTCAAAAGCCTCATGTAAAGTCTGTGCAATCCTATTTTATTATAACTTTTCCAGCACTTTAGAGAACTCACACTGCCCCCCTTTGAAAACAGACAAGCGAGGATGCTATTTTAGAAACAACATCATTT